GACTTCCATAGTCACTGAAGGTTGGAGGGGGCTTGGAGCAGCCTGGGCTAGTGGAAAGTGTCCCTGGGATAGTGGAAGGTGTATCTGAGACAGTGGGAGGTGTCCCTGGGCTAGTGGAAGGTGTCCCTGCCCGTGCAGGGGGTGGAATGAGCTGAGCTTTAAGGTCCCTCCCAACCCAAACCATTCTGGGATTCTGTGAAGTGGAAACAGGACTGAGTGCAGTGAATTCCTGCTGAGCTCCAGATCCTGCTGTCCCAGGGGGATGGGGACACCAGGGAACATCCCAGGGGTGATGGGGACATAAAAGAGCATGGGAATAATTCAGTGTCTTAAGGGAGATGATTCCTTGAATGCTCTGCTTTGTCTGCTGGGAGGAAGCTCCCCTCAGCTGCCTGTTTTACCTCCCAGAACTGCTGGGAAAATCACCTTTGCAGTTTCCAGGCTCTGAGGGAGGTGGAAACATGGATAAGGTCCGTATTGATCACAGAATCTCAGACTGGGTTGGGTTGGAAGGGACCTTAAAGCTCATCCATCCCACCCCCTGCCATGGGCAGGGACACCTTCCACCAGCCCAGGTTGCTCCAAGCCCCGTCCAACCTGGCCTTGGACACTTCCAGGGATCCAGGGGCAGCCACAGCTTCTCTGGGCAACCTGTGCCAGGGCCTCCCCACCCTCACAGCCAGGAATTCCTTCCCAATATCCCATCTCACCCTGCCCTCTGGCACTGGGAAGCCAAGAGTCACATGTTGCTGCCCTCTGGAGCAGGACTTGGTGCCCTGGCCCTGCACCTCCCAGGGAAGGAGTTGGACTGCCAAGGGAACCAGGGAAAGGGGAGCAGGGAAATGGGCATGTGCCAAAATCCCAGTCCTGTTTGATAAATCCCCCTTCCTTTAAAGACAGGATTTCTGTGTGCATCTCCCAGGGTTAAACCCAGAGGAGCAGGGACAGTTCTCTCTGCAGTGAACGATTCCAGCTGTGCAGTGTCCTGACAGTGGGAATAGCTGGATACCTTTGGAGACAGTGGGAATAGCTGGATACCCTCGGAGCTCTGTCAGGCTCTGCTGGTTGGGAATTGGAGCTGGAAACCCTGGATTGTTCCCAGGCCCTTTTTGCTTCACTGTGCTGCTGCTCTGCAGCCTCCTTGCAAGATATCAGGATTCCCTTTCATTTTCCTTGCCCCTCCAGAGGGATGGAAGTCTCTGGATACATCCCTTACAAACCAGTTTAATGCCTCCGTTGAAATTCCTGAAGTTGCCTGTGATTAAAGCCCAGATTTGGGGGGGAGGAGCCCTGAGCGAGGAAGTTCAGCTGAGCCCTTGTTTACACGGGTGAAATATGTAAACACTTCTTTTTCCCCAAATATAGGGCTTTTTTCCTTGGCTGCCAGCCCGGTGTTTATAAAAGCCAGTTATGTAAATGACAATCCCAATAATTAAGCTGCTGTTTGCTGCTGTCCCGGGGCTGCTCCTGCTGCAGGGCCTGGTGCTACCGGGGCCCCAAAGAGCTCTGGGGGTCATTACAGATAAGGAAATTAAAGGAACCCGAAATTAAACACAGTTCTCATTAGAGAGAATCTCCCACGAGAAAGGCAAGACTTGGAATGAAATGGTTTGATGTTCCAGGGGACCTCTGGAGATGGTCCCCTTGTAGGGGCAGAGCCTCCCAGAGCTGCTTGTCCAGGGCTGTGTCCTGTCCTGCTTGACTGTCCCCAGGGCTGGAGCCTCCACAGCCTCTCTGGGCAAAGAAAAAAGAGACTTTGTAAGCTGTTTGTAAAGCAAACCCAACCCAAACTGCTTTCCATGGTGGATGAAAATGGCTTCAGGTTGCAGCAGGGGAGGTTTAGGTTGGATATTGGGGAAAATCTTCGGTGGGAAGGGCTGTCCAGCCCTGGCACAGCTGCTGGGGCAGGGTGGGAGTCACACCCCTGGGGGCATTGAAAAGCCACATGGATGTGGCACTTGGGGACAGGGGTTAGTGGTGGCCTTGGCAGTGCTGGGGGATGGTTGGACTCCATGATGGTGTCTGAGGGCTTTTCCAGCCTCACTGATTCTGGAATTCTGTGACATTCCAGCTCTTCCTCTCCTGTAGCACTTTGGCCCCACTGTGTGCTGGTGGTCTGGGGTGGGTGTGAGTGGGGAGCAATGGCCAGAGGAGGGGTGCCAGGCTGGGAGGAGAGTGCAGAGCTGGCCCCTGTTGATGTGCCCACATTAGTTTGCCATCAAGGACACCCCCGGGAGGGACAAGGGACTCTTTGTTCTGCCTGCTGAGAGTGATAGTGGGGAGATAAAACCAAGCCTGGAGGCACCAAACAGCAGGATGGAGACAAAAGCCTGCCATGACTCAGAGAGGGGGGTGGGAGGGCAGGCAGTGCTCTCAGTTCCCAAGGGCTGCAAGTGTCTCTTGTGGAAACTGCTGTGCCAAAAATCAGGGCTGGGCCTTCTGGGAGAAGATTTACTTAAAGCCAACTTCAAACTCATTTTGAGGCTTTTGCTGAAGGTGCCATAGGGTGTCTCAGAATGACCTGGTGTTAGTGTTCCAGGCCAGGTTGGATGGGGCTTGGAGCAGCCTGGGATGGTGGAAGGTCCCTTCCTGCTCAAACCATTGGATGGTTTTGTAGTGTGATCTTTAGGCTTAATCTTCCATCAGTCTGAGGAAGGGGGCTGGTCATGGTCATGGTTCTTCATTTTGAGTATTTCTGTGGCTGCAGCCCAGAGCAAAAACAGGGAAGGGGAATGGAGGTAACAGGGAGGGGAATGCAGATAACAGGGAAGGGAATGGAGATAACAGGGAGGGGAATGGAGATAACAGAGAAGGGAATGGGATAACAGGGAGGGGAATGGGATAACAGGGAGGGGAATGG